AAAAAGAAAAAGGACAAATGCTGGTCCCATGGGCGCAGCACACCTCTCCCCCTCTCCCTGCACTACTTAGCTGTAGCTGCCATGGAGCAGCCAGGCAGGTGGCATCAGAAATGGTTCCACAGGATATCGAGTGTGACCTCAACTGCCACGAAGGGTGTCATCCGAGTAACATTTGCATGCTGCATCGCAATGTCTAGGTGACAGCAGAAGCTCCCAATACTCCCTGGCTCATTTCTCAGCCTCTCTTGAAGGAACCCTATGCTTACTTCTTAAAATCATAAACCAATGGCTTCTGACAATTGATATCAGCTGGGAGTCTCTGCAAGGCTATTTCAAGCTCTGAGCTCAAAGTAACTGCGCAATGAGCAGCAGGACTAAAGCACCGGGGCAGACGCAGCAGCTTATCACAGTACGGGAGTGCAGCGACAGTGGCAGTGGTAGTGCTAATAGTGACAGTAGTAGTCATTGTCGTGAAGGGTTTCATTACAGCTTTCCTTTTAAATATACATATTCCAGGATCTACTATAAGTACAGTATCTTGAAGGTATTATTTCAAATAATCCTTTTGAAGGTGTTATGAAAAATGTGTTGTTATTTTTGTATAACTACTGGAAATCAAGGGCTGGAGAGATAGCTCAGTAGCATAAGTGCTTGCCTAGCAAGCACAAAGTCCCAAGTTCTATCCTCAGGGCTGCAAAACAAAACAAAACAGAACAAAACAACTGGAAAACAGAAGCCCGCGTGAGCTTTTGGCAATGAGTTAGTACAAAATTATGTAATATGTGTACTTGCATGCAACTGAGTATTGTTTATATTTGTGTATTAGGGTGTGATGAAATATCAGGATGCAGTGGGTGGCAAGTGGAAGGAGATTTTAAAAGAAACAACCTGTATTCCACACATGCATCCACTCTCCTAAGTGACTGTGAACTCCACAGACTGCAAATACACAGTAAAATATAGTTGATGGCTAACACACGCCACTTCAGCAGACCCTTTATCAGAGTCTGATGTGTCCATATATATATTTTTTTCTCATTTTCATGTCAATTCTTTTTTGTCGTGATTCCATTATTTTTTACAATATCTTGATTCCTGTTGTACTTATATAATATTTTCCTAAATATGTCTTAAAACATTTAACTGAAAACATTTTTTCTCAAACCTTGGCATTATATTCCAAAATTATCAGCTAATTCTATACATTGCAGACCTCCCTTAATGACTCACAGTTGGAATTATTTATGGAATAAATTATTTTGCAGCTGCTAACTCCTAAGCCCCAGTCCTTGGGACTCCAGCACAGCAGGCTCAGTGTGTGTCCAGGACCAAGCAGGGCCCCACAGTGGGGCCGAGCCATACATGAACTACTTAGAGGACCTCCGTCAAAAAAATAGAAAAGAAAATTTGAGTCAACATCATTAAACAGGCCAAGGATGCAGTTCGGCTCTCAGAACATATGCCCAGCCCTCCTGAGTTCCAGGACTATCTTCCTCTAGTGAGCAAAGAAAACAGAGGAGAGTTGTAAAGCTGTTCCTTCCCAAGTATTCTTAGTGCTTCAGTTCTGTAATCTCCAAAATGTTCATATTTTGTAATTGAAGATTTCTTATGTCCTAACAATTCTTTGTAAATATCTTCCAGTTTTTGAAAAAAAATTCTTTGTTTTATAAACATTTTAAATATATGCAAGAAAGAATGGAAAATAAAGAAATGAGATGTTTATTACTCAACTGTACAAAGAATAGTACTTATAGAGAAAATAAAATAGAGTAAATTTTTGTTACTGGGAATGTTAAACAGTTTTGCAGAAAAAATCATTTTGCTTTATTGTTTATAATGTCAAAATGAAACTGCGTGTAATCTTATTAAAACTGCACTCTAGAATTTAACCATATAATTATAAAATTAATTTAAAATATAATACATAGCTTGCTAAAGTGTTAGCACTAAAATAATTTTAATGTTCCCTAGATAACATTAACTTCTGTTCAAACAGAGATTATAAATTATCTTTCTTTATATTTTTCTGTAATTGTATTTACTAAAAATCAATATAAAAATGATAGGCCCACTGTATGCAGTAGTTTGAAAATCTCCCCTCTGAAATTTGGATGCTGCCCATGTGATATTTAAGAGGTGATTATAAGATTGGGATTGTAACTTTGTGAATGAGACCGAGCCTCTTTTAACCAAGGGATTGCTGGCGCAGTAAGACTTCCTGCCCTAACGCT